CCAGACGCAGTTCCAAACTCGGAGGTAGCCCTGAGGGACCAGTTTGTGGAACGCGTCCGGAATGGAGCGCTGCGGCACCACCTGAGGGAGGTGGTGAGGGGTAAACCCAGAATGTCGCTGATTGAAATCAGAGAAGAAGCTATTAGATGGGGTGAAGATTTTGATAGAGGGAGCAATTTCCATTCCTCCCAGTGCAATGTTACACGAGCCAATATAACAACTGCCACCCCAGTGCAAGAGCCAAAACAGTCTCCAGAGTTTCTGGCCATTACAGAACTAATAAAGAACCAACAGACTCAAATCTCCTCTTTAACGCAACAGTTTCAGTCTCTGCAGTCAATGTTTGAGCAGACCACAGCCAAATTGACAAAGGAACGAAAGTGCCTACGTTGCAATAAACAAGGTCATATTGCTCGATATTGTCGCCAGCCCATGCCCACTACCCTGAGAACGAATCCTAACCCGAGTGTCCAGACAGTGCAAGTGGACTATCCAGTGACGCAGCCAACTTTTGCCTCTCACCAGGTAACGGATCTAACGAAGCTTGACTCTAACCCAGTCTCTACAGAGCTTTTGAAACAGTTGGTGGGTCCATGCACCGTAGTACAGCTGACCATGAATGGGATCAATGTACCTTCATTATTGGACACTGGTTCAAATGTTACCACACTGACAAAAAGTTTTTTCATGTCACATTTTCATTCAGGCCAACCTAAAATTAACAACTGTAAGTGGCTGAACCTCTCTGCTGCCAATGGGCTCGCCATCCCATATTTGGGGTATGTAGAGGTGGAGGTCACTGTCTTAGGTCGAGTGCTTCATGACTGTGGTGTTCTAATTGTTGAAGACCCACCCAGTTTCACATCATTACAGAAACAGAAGGAAAAAGTGCCTGGGCTGCTGGGAATGAACATCATAAGTCAACTGTATACTGACCTCTATGAGGAATATGGGTCTGCCATGTTCTCTATCCCTCAGGTTACACAGGCCGCACCTGGGTGGGGGGAAGCACTACAAATGTGTCATTTGATGGAGACTGAGCAAAGTGAAGAAGGAATCGGTAAACTACGAGTGCATGCTGAGAACCCTGTCCAGATTCCTGCAGGTACCACAGTGATGATTCCAGCTACAGGTCCAAAAGG